TTACACTCACTGCTAAATCGATAATTATGGGGCATATCATATTAATAGTTAATTACTACGTTATGGTATGCATCGTGTTCACTGCTAATACAGCGTTATAGTGTGTAAAACAGTTATTAATAAGTACAACGTTATTATAATCACATCTACCATTTAATACAGTGTTATTGATTACCACATTTACAGTTAAATACAACGTTATTGTATACATCACTCGTTGTTAAATATAATGATATTGTATATCACATTTACAGTTAAATACAACGTTATTGTATACATCACTCGTTGTTAAATATAATGATATTGTATATCACATTTACAGTTAAATACAACGTTATTGTATACCTCATTCGTTGTTAAATATTATACTGTATACCGCATTGACAGTTAAATACGGCGTTATTGTATACACCACTCATTGTTAAATATAATGATATTGTATATCACATTTACAGTTAAATGCAGCATTACTGTAGACCTCACTCGTTGTTAAATACAAAATTGAATACCACACCTAAAGTTAAATACGGCGTTATTGTATACACCACTCGTTGTTAAATACAATGATACCGAATGCCACATTTACCATTAAATGCAATGTGTTTTACTACATTCTTTGTTAAATATGTTATTGTATACCACATTATGTTAAAGACAATGTTATTGCATTCCACATTCATTATTAAGTGCAACGTTATTGTATTCCACATTCATTGTTAAGTACTAGGTTATTGTACACCTCACTCGTTGTTAAATACAATGATATTGAATGCCACATTTGCTATTAAACGTCTCTCAGTGGGCACAACACAGATAGCCCTTTTGTGTAGCTTTGTGCTTAACTACAAACAAACAAAACACTATAAAATACCACATTCACTGTTAAATACGTAACTGTATACCACATTCACTGTTAAATAAGTTATTATATACCACATTCACTGTTAAATACGTAACTGTATACCACATTCACTGTTAAATACAACTTTACGTTGTAAACTGATTGATTGCTAAACAGTCTGTTATGAAGTGTTTTATATTCAATTGTGTTTGAACTAGTGTTCGAATAGCGACAATACTAACACTTCTAGTTTTAATGCATATTACTGACGCTAAAAACAACTTTCCACTTAATTGCCACTCTCTTATCAGTTAATAACTATGTGGTTTAAAAACAAAATAGAAATACATAAAGCCCAGGTGTGATGAAATAGATGTTCAAGATTTATGTTCTAGTCACGTGATATCAAATCTGAAACTTCTTTTCTTCACATGTATTTCACATATTCTACAACTAAGATGTTTTACAACGGCGATGGTTCAGATAAAGGTCTGCACTTAGAACGAAACAACCCCAGGTGTGTAAAGTGCCAGGGGCGAGAGTCCCATCCCACGGAACTTAATGCTACCCATACGACAAGTAGGCAATTCCCTAGACCTTGTAATCTATGATCACCGTACCAATTTTCTACAAAACGTTGTTTGTAAAGCCAGTAGAAGAGGAAGTGAACTGATGGCAAATCGCTTAACCTCGAATGAGTATTAAACAGTTTACCAGTGAAATGCTGGTTCGTGTTTCAATATGTAACTTGCTAAATACGTCTTCGCAACCAATCGTTTAACACTAAATACAGCCAATTTCGTAGAGCACTGGGTAATAGCTTTGTTTTAACCATTTTAATGTTGAATAAAGATTGGATAAGTTTGTTTTTAACTTTGTTTTAACAGCTTTAATGTTGAATAAAGATTGGATAATTTTGTTTTTAACTTTGTTTTAACAGCTTTAATGTTGAATAAAGATTGGAAAATTTTGTTATTAACTTTGTTTTAACAATTTTAATGTTGAATAAAGATTGGATAAGTTTGTTTTTAACTTTGTTTTAACAGCTTTAATGTTGAATAAAGATTGGAAAATTTTGTTTTTAACTTTGTTTTAACAGCTTTAATGTTGAATAAAGATTGAATAATTTTGTTTTTAACTTTGTTTTAACAGCTTTAATGTTGAATAAAGATTGGAAAATTTTATTAACTTTGTTTTAACAATTTTAATGTTGAATAAAGATTGGACATTTTGTTTTAACAATTTTAATGTTGAATAAAGATTGGATAATTTTGTTTTTAACTTTGTTTTAACAGCTTTAATGTTGAATAAAAATTGGACATTTGGTTTTAACAATTTTAATGTTAAATAAATTTTGATAAAAGAGTTAGCACAAAGGATCACATATAAAGTGTAATAGGCTTAAAATAAGACCCAAAACTCGAGCGCTTTCAAATAGTTGACTATTCTTCTTCAGGAGAACAAAGAAGAAAAATGTTGAATAAAGATTGGGCACTTTGTTTTAACAATTTTAATGTTGAATAAAGATTGGGCACTTTATTTTAACAATTTTAATGTTGAATAAAGATTGGGCATTTTGTTTTAACAATTCTAATGTTGAATAAAGATTGGGCACTTTGTTTTAACAATTCTAATGTTGAATAAAGATTGGACACTTTGTTTTAACAATTTTAATGCTGAATATAGATTGGACATTTTGTTTTAACAATTTTAATGTTGAATATAGATTGGACATTTCGTCGTTAATGGTAAGAAACATTTCAAATAACCCGAGTTTCATTGAAAACCAACATTTTGTTGTTCTGCTTTTCTATTCCTGTAAGAACCTATCAGAACACATTTTAAATAGCAACAGTTTACTGCAAAACCATGTCTCCTTTGTCATTTATTTTTTTCTTCTTATCTTATAAGTGAACCGAACATTATGTGTAAGGAAACGTCCAAAATGACCGATTGTTTGAAATCTTAGAAAAGTGACAGCGAAAACAGTATGGCTCATAGCGACAGAAGCATTACCTCGATCCGTGTAATCAATCATCTAACTAGGCGGTCCCACGACTGTCACACGGCGTGGACAAGTAAGTCCCTGTTCAACACAGTGTCAACACTAATGATCCTGCTACACATCTGATTCCTTAGCTTTTACACAGCCTTACATCTTGATTTATCGCGATAGGGAAGAGAGTATGTTTGTGATTTGTTGCTTATCAAAATTAATTTGCACAAGAAAAAAAACATTTATATTATTCAATTTTGAAAATGTGTAAAAAATATTTCACATGTCTATTTCATTATGCGCACTACATGTCACATTGAATAATGTTTAACATAGCGATGTATTAATTAATATGAGCCGAATAATACATACAAACTACTATTTGTAACAATTCTGCTAATACCATGAGAATGCCCCCCAGTGGCACAGCGGTATGTCTGCGGACTTACTACTCTAGAAACCGGGTTTCAATACTCGTGGTGGGCAGAGCACAGATAGCCCATTGTGTAGCTTTGTGCTTAATTACAAACAAACAAACAATACCATGAGATGTACTTTTAAGCTCCACTTATAACGATAGTAATTAATCATTATGGAACTCTGACATGTGACAGGTAAAGATTAATCACTTTTCTTCAGAGGTCAAAACTTTTTAATATTGCTAAAAATTCGAGAATCTTATAACGCAATCAGTTATGATAATCCCTCAGTTATTTAAATGTCAAACTGAGAAATGTGCTTGAAAAAAATATGGAATATAAAAAGTTATTCTTGTGTTATCATTTAAGCTTTAGATTGTTTAAATAAAAACAACCTATTTCACTGTGAATTGTAAAATCACTCATGTACACGCCACTCTATAGAAACATTGTAACAGTAGTAGATCCAAAACTGAGAATTAATTCACTCATATATATGTCATTTCTACACAAACAAATTAATTCTCAGTTTTGGATCTACTACTGTTATAATGTTTGTATAGAAGTGACTATATGAGTGACTTACAACTCAGTTTTGGATCTAGTGCTGTTATAAAACTCATAAATATATGTCACTTCTACACAAACAAACATTATAACAGCACTAGATCCAAAACTGAGTTGTAAGTCACTCATATAGTCACTTCTATACAAACATTATAACAGTAGTAGATCCAAAACTGAGAATTAATTCACTCATATAGTCACTTCTATACAAGAAACGAATGACATTTTCTGCTGTAACTGCTACCTTATATACTATGGTATAAAGTATATCCCCCCAGATGGTTAGATGTAATTCATACTTGACTTACAATAATGTCTCCTTATAACTTGGACTGTGATTTGTTTTTTCGTGCTTTAATATGAAACATAAACAGTGGATATCATGAAAAACAAAATCACGTACTATAAACCCGTTTTATGAGTGGTAAGGAAAAAGATGCGTTTATGAGTAGGATAAGATCTGGTTCGAACCTGAACGTGACTTTCGATGATATGTTTTTCATAAGTGAGATGATGGGATAACCAAACTCAAAAGGTGTTATTTAAATCGTTCGAAAGTTTTATTTCTTTGTGCCACATGAGCAAGTTAAAAAGAACTACGTGTACTTAGTTCATAACAAAATACATGTCATCTCCCACACTAACAGGAACAGTTAGAAGAATAAGAAAATAATTACTTAAGTCTCATTAGAAAGTACAGCCGTGAAAGTTTAATCTTAAACTTACATGATCAGTTAGAATAACAAGAAAATAATTACTTAAGTCTCATTTAAGTTTAAGATCAAACATTCACGGCTGTAATTTCTAATGAGACTTAAGTAATTATTTTCTTGCTATTCCTAATTGTTTCTGTAAGTTTAAGATCAAACATTCACAGCTGTACGTTCTTATGAGACTTAAGTAATTATTTTCTTGTTATTCCTAATCGTTCCTGTTAGTTTAAGATCAAACATTCACGGCTGTACTTTTTCAGGAACGATTAGGAATAACAAGAAAATAATTACTTAAGTCTCATAGAAAGTACAGCCGTGAATGTTTGATCTTAAACTTACAGGAACGATTAGGAATAACAAGAAAGGAAAATTACTCGTGCTAATTGTTTAAACTAAAACGTTTCTCAAGACAAGTAACATATAATATTATGACAGAAACAACCAGCTACAATGTGATTACTTACGCTTTGTTTTTCATGTACTTTGAACAACGAAAATAAGTTCAAGAAAGGAGAGTCACCAATATGCAAGTCGACGGAAACGCAAGCCAGACATTCGCCGCCTTAGGAGCCGAAACCGAAGTGGGCTTCTAAGCTGATGCCATCGCAAAACCGTTTCTTACTTTGACAGACTCTTCAAAAGTTAACGTTGTTGATATCCGCCTAAAAGATAACAGTTTCTTAACATCTCTTTAAAATATGACCCATTTTGATTTTACTTCTTTGCAACTTTATTACAAGTATTGAAACAATGAGTTCCTTTTCTTGAAAAATAACGCATCACCCTAATCTAGGCCTAGTATAACTAGCGTGCGCGTCGACGCCTTAGTGCTTGTCTTGCCGTATCTACCGCGTGAGTACCCACTCTTTTGTCTCCTCCCTCCACCGCGAGCGTGCGTACAAACCTGGAGGCAGGTTACAACCCTTCTTCCCTCTTCTTTTGAGTACCCCACTAGTTAGCGGTTTAATAAAACTACACTACATTAGTTGCTGAATCGTAATTTATGTACGTCTATAGGGTTATTAACGCTGTGGAAGAAACACATCCGTTATTTTTCTATAAAACATAGTTCACCACATCCATGATGTTTGATATCTTTATTGAGTTTGTCGTGCGTTATTTCTCAACTATTATTAACTGCTTTTGGTGTTCCAGCTCCAAGTTTACCTTAGCTGTTATCGTATGAAAAGTATCTGATTGCAAAGTACCGGAAAAAATATACTTAGTAATGATATTTACTTTGCAGCATATATCAGTATGGATTTAACATCACAATATTTTTTACGTTGCAATAAACAACGTCACAACATATTTTTTCTAATTGCAGTATATATATCACAATATAATCGCAAAATAAATGAAAAATACGCCCTCTAACATATATTATTACTGATTATCTTTCATTATATATAACAAAAACAGATGTTTAACATAGCTACAAATAACTGGTCTATATATGTAAAAGAATTAGCATAAAAGTAATTCTTTATCCACATATTATTCAACTTTATTCATTTATTCACCTTTTCTTTTTCCTTACGTGTCCAACTACCTTGTGCATCGTTATTTCTTCCTCTTCATCATTTCAAACCCTGAGACCGTGTTTCTCCAGTTCAGTTTCAACTTCGGCTGTCATTCATGACGTTCTAAATGAATCTAGGATTTTAACCTTTCAAAATAAACCCTAATAAAGTCGAACTACTTAGTTTGAAAGAACATGATGGTTAGTATATAAAGCGACATTTTACGCTTCACCGACTCAATGTATATAACCTGAATTGTAACTATTTTACACACATTGATACTTTTACTCATTCATTAAATACTGTATATTATCTTTGGCTTTTACAAACTTTCAAGCATTTATCTTTTGTTCTAAATGATATTTCACTTTCTGAAATAAAAAACTCCAACCAATTAATATTTCCAATGTACAAGCACATACATAACAATTACAGAAGTTTCACAGAAATAATAATTCCAAAATTGGCTGGTTGATGTCGCTTATTCGAACTAAATCTAATGGTTATCACTTTCTCTGAGTAGTCTATTAACTCCGTTAAGAGAAAGTCTGCTTATCTTATTTTGTCAGTTTAATTAACTCGTTTATCTTTCGTCGCCTTTCCTGCAATCTAGTGGTGAGAAGATACGGGCGTAACTGATAATTGGTTCACCACAAACATAAGAAAATTGGCTCCGTGATGTTTAGCATACACACAAGCTGTTTTGGCCTGCTTGAATGATAACCAAAAAGTAATCTATTTTACAACTTTTAAAACGACTGGCTGAAAAAAAACCTTTACATCAAATGGTGAAGAAATTTCATTATTTATCCTACTTAACCTCCTATATCTTTAACCTTAAAACAATTTTACCACAAAATAATACGTTCAACTGTCATGCGAAGTATTCCGTAAGTCTCAAATTTGTCCTTTGATAACCTTCTTACTGACGCACACCAGACAAAATTAATTTTAAAACAAGAGGTTCAGGTAGTTTCAGTAAAACCAAATGTTGTAATGATACTTACCCAGAATTTTTAAACTCGTCCTTTGTACTTATTTGTCCTTTCTAATTAAAAAAGTCCCCCGATGGAATAGCGGTAAGTCTTCGGATTTACAACTCTACAATCAGGGGTTCGATTCCCCCTCGCTGGACGCAGCAGATAGCCCGATGTGGCTTTGCTATAAGAAAAACAAACAAACACATTAAAAAACATATTTTTAGATTTAATATAAAAAATTACTCCTAAAGAGCTTACTGGTGACTCAGCGGTAAGCTTGAGGGCTTATAACGCTAAAATCCGGTGTTCGATTCAACGCGATGGACATAGCGCAGATAGCCAATTGTGTGGTTTTTCATTTAACAGCAGACAAACAAAGGACCTCTAAAGAAGACTAAGAACCATAGTGGAGAGGAGATCTTATACTACAAAATGGCTTAACTTTATGTGAAAAACGAGGCTCATTAGAAATTGAAACGTCTTGAATCTAAATTGTTTGTCTTGTTATTCAGATTACAAACACATACACCCTATAATCACCAGTGGTGAACTGTTTTTCTGTACTCACAATAACCACGACTGGTAATTATTATTATTATCATTATTTTTTGCTTATTCCTGATAACCATGACTGGTGAATTTCTTTTGTTTAATCCCGATAACCATGACTGATAATTGTTTTTTACTCTCGATAATCGGGATTACAACGACTAAGGGTTTTTATTTATTTATTCCAGACTAGTTAATTTTGTTGTTGTGATAAACACGAACATAGTCTTTGTTGTTGTTGTTTGTTTACTCTCGATGACAACAACCGAATATTTCGTGTATTCACTTTCGATAACCAAAGCTGGGAAATTGGAGTGTGTGCATATTCTATTTTACAATGCCTGCTTACTTATACCTAAATAGCATGTCTTCAAATGCTCAACATTAACTTAAATAAGCTTCAACTGACATAATAGAAATTTTCGTGGTTTTAATGAAGGAATGGGCGCCCACGGAAATATTTTCGGGGGGGGGGGCAAAAACATGTATGTAGAGGATCAGCTTTTACAGTGTGAGTCAACAAACTAAAAGAATATGTGTTATGTGTGCTTAAACGCAAACACGAATTTACAGTAAACATTATTAAAAATATTTAGTTTAACTAAGCTTGTTTGTTGGAAGTTAAGCACAAAGCTCACGATGGGCTATCTGTGCTCTGCCCACCACGGGTATCGAAACCCGGATTCTAGCGTTGTAAGTCCGCAGACTTACCGCTGTGCCACTGGGGGGGGGGGCGTTTAACTAAGACGTTAAGTTTACATCATAACACGTGCAATTTTCTTTTGTGAAATGTAAGGGGGGCAAATGCCCCCTTCTTGCCCTTTCCTGCAGGCGCCCATAAATGAAGGTATACTTTATTGTGTCCATGGTTTTAATAATTATATATAATCGTAACATAACGTTAATTTCTATTAAACTCTTTAAACAGTTTGTTTGTTTTATAATTAAGCACAAAGCTACACAATGGGCTACTTGTGCACTGCCCACCACGGGTATCGAAACCCGATTTCTAGCGTTGTAAGTCCGCAGATATGTCACTGTGCCACTGGGGGATAACTCTAACAGAAACAACATATTGTACTAAGTAAGCACGACTCTATTCAATTCGTTATTTCGTTTCTTAATCTATTATATTTCCGAGTAAAATGTCTGCAACTACATCTAATTTCCTGCTGCTAATCTTACAGTTAGGATTTTCCTTTTTTGTTTTATGTTTAGTGCAAACTTGCACAATCTACTCTATGTCCATTTGTAGAGATCGAATCCAGAATTTTTACACCGGGAAAGGGCTTACAGTTGGGCAATGAACGCCTGTGCTAGTTTCTTTACTGCTGAGACAAATTTTGTGAAGAGTAGAGGACTTACTTACATATGCAGGGTGGGTAGGATGTAATGGAGGTTTCTCAAAAAAGTAGTCCACTTCCAAAGAGGGTTTCAAATTACGCCACTATAAGTCATGGGATTGAAAGTTATGTCATCGTAAGTCATTAAGGTTATGTTACCATAAGTTAGGTGGATTTAAAGCTACTTCATAATAAGTCAAGGAGATTTATTTAATTATTTTGGATATTCGTGCAGAGCTACAAAAAGGATATTTGCATCACCCGTCTCTCATTTTGAGCTGATAGACTGGAGGGAAGGCAGCTAGTCAACAGCACCCACTGCCAACTTTTGGACTACACTAATCGAACAGTGGGATTTGACCGTCACTCTTATAACACGCCCATGTCTCTAAAGTGCCGAACGCGATCTTGCGATGACGGGGTGCGAACCGTAAAATCACAAATTCACAGTCCAGCACACTTACCACGCAGGGACTAAGAATTACGCCATTTCAGCTGACAGTAATACAGTACGAAGTGATTAGGATCAGAGACACCATGATTCGTGGTAGCTCCTTCTCGCCCTGTTAAAAAAAAAATGGATAGGACTCTTTTTCTGAGGACATTCTAGGCATCTATAGTAATACATCTCATATGTACAAACATGTGCAGAAACTATGAAAGATTGGAATAACGAGGTGAAAAACTAGGTATCAGTGTCAGATGCCTGAAGCACCTAGAATAACTCTGTAATTCTGAAACTTCACCCGTTGACAGTAATGATCTTAACACTTGCAGCTGTCCTGTTAACGCTCTGACGTCTTAATTAAAGTCTCCCAGACAATTTAAAACAAGAAAACAATAAAAACCAAATTTAAATTCCTATGAAAAAATGCACGATAAGCTAACAGATAGTTAAATGAATGTGCCTTGAATACACAGTACTAGTCTGATATCATACAAGTGTGCAATACATTAGGCTTTTGTTCAGCTGGTGCTTCTTCGGTTTTCTCACTTTGTACTTTGTTTACGTTATACGAATGAATCCGTGATTTTCATGTATTCTTATAACCCTTTCTTTTGTCATTTGAAGTGTTTATATACAAAATATCTTGTGAATTGGATGAAATAGGCTCAGACCAAAGAAAACTTTTGTGAACTGGGTGAACTGGGCTCAGCCCGAAAAGACCATCTGCATTATGGAGATGGTTTATTACGAAAAAGGATATGTTCTGAAAAAAAGACATAACACAAAAAATGTGGCACTTAGCTTCTAAACAGATCTTGAGAAATACGAAATTGTTAATTATGGGTCATTCTGCGGATTAGATTTTATGATAATGAGCTATTCTTAATTAGGGGTTATCAAACAGAATAAAATTAATGATAAAAATAGCTTCTGGACCAGGTGTTGCCAAGCAGAATAAATGTTATGATAAAAATAGATTCTGGATTAGGATTAAGATTCAGAATAGAT